TCCAAGAAACCGAACTGTGTCAAGTTCATTAATTTCTTCACGAGAATGACGAGTGGAGATGAAACTAAACTTTCCCAAACATGTTATGAAAAAGTTTCTGTGTTATCTCTGCAGTGGTGAAAACTTCCGTGAATTTTTGAGAGAAAAATGCCGCAAACATGCGTTCGTCAAGCCGACGGTCTGCGACTCGTGGTCATGACACTCCGCCGCAATGAACAACCCGCAGCAACCGCCGAATAGGATCTAAGAGGAACAACGTGAAGCAAGATGTCTCATTTCATCATTTTCTGCTTGGTGAGGAAAATTTGGTTTTTCTTTTGCGTCATCAGCAAAAAGTTCAGTCGAAATTGCATGGGAACTTTTTTTCTCTCCCATGTCGCCGTTATTTAAATATAAGTTGAGATGGGATTCAGTGCAATGGCCTTGAGTTAGAAGCTGCAACAAGCAGTTGCCGCACTCTTCTGCATAAGTCAGACGTGCTTTCCAAAAGCCAAACGAAGGCGAAAACCTCGAAACTACAAGGAGGCGTAGAAAAACGTCCATTGAAAGGATTTGCATGACAATAACGTCGGCGAAGACCAAAGTGAAACTGACAAAGTCAAACGGGCGATGTTTTCACGAGTTTTGTGAGTTGGAACACCTTGCGTTTGTCCCGGTGTGGCAGTCAGGAGCGTCCCCCCGGACTTTCCTGACTAGGTAGGACGGTCCGGTCAGATTTCTCTGACTCGGCGGGACTGTTCGGCCGGGCTGTCCAGCCTCAGTCACCTCAGTCTGGGGGCCAATCTGGAGCGTCCGCAGTCTTCCAAATTTAAAGAAACAAGGCATTTGTCATGTTTCATCCCGTTTCCATTGTGTCAAGAACTTCATGTATCATTCGGGCTAGTATTACTGCTTTCATGTCCCTTTTCCCATATCAATTGTAAATCTTGGAGGAAGAGTTTTACTGTATAGGACAATCGGTGGCACATCATGAAGACTTCGAACCATTACTTCAAGTACCTCGATTTAAAACTGATTTATTCCTAATGAAAATTGTATCACCAGTCAACTTTTTTGATTTCCCTACAATATAACTTGTTTAAATAATTGAGAAAGTGAAAATGTTTTGCAAAAAAATCATCAAGCCGATAGTAAATGGTCACTTAAAACAGTTGACCTTGAAATCGCCTCCATGATTACTACTGTATATATTGATGCAATAGTCGAACAGTATTTGGGGTTTTTTGAGCTTCTGCGTACGTGTCATGAATGAATTATCTTAAATTGAAATTCAACAGAATGAAAGCTTCTCGGGGCATATTCATCAATTTTGAATTTGCGCTATTATGCTTTTTTCAGGCTGGCCACCATTTCGAATAGCTAAAGAATACAGCCCATGCCTTGAAACTTGTGCTGTACGTTTTGAATTTCATGTTCTGCATACATTTTCAATTAAATAAATGCTCAATTTTTTTGCACAATTGTAATTGAAGATGGAAAAGTCCTCTCAATAAGGTAGTCGAACCTGCAAAATGTTTTGTGTATCCATATTGAAAACACATGGCTGCTATCACGCCACGCGCAAGGGGACGGTCCTTACTGGGGACCAAACTGTGCAGTTTAATCAGGAAGATCCGGCCGGACGCTCCTGACTCCTACACCGGAGGCCTCTCCGTTGGATACCGTAATTTCTAACAAAGAATCTCAAGAAATACTTCGCCAAATGAATACGCCAATTCTTCAAGCGAAATGACTGCACAAATATTATTGCTTCCCTAATATGGAAAGACCGGATTCTTCATGATACAAAATTTTATGAGCAAGTTTTGCTGATATTTTTCTCAATTTGATTAAGATGGTGTAATTTTAATTATTCAGCTGCAGATTTCAGAAAATCCGGAATTAAGTGCCATGCAAATGCGACAAGCACTGTATTGGGCAAGTTTTAGTTCTTTGAAGGTTCGTCGAACTTTCACAAAATGACACCGATTTAGGAATACAGTACTGTACTTCAGTCAGTTGCCTTCATATTTCTGGTTCAAAATTTTAAAATTTTCTGAGTGGACCAGAGTTAAAAGTACTCAATTCTGCGGATTTCCTCCGACTGCAGTAGATTTTATAATCGAAAGGATTAGCACACGAAAAAATTAAAAATAAACTAGCCACAGCAACTGAATACACAATCCAGTACTGTACAGTATTAAAATTGCGAAAGCGTTGCCTGGCCTGCGCCCTCTTTTAGCAAAAGTTGTGGCTATATTTGTCACAACTCAAATTCTAGAATCTGAAAGTTCACACTATGTTATTGAATAAACAAATGAAAAATAATCTACAGTACTTATATTTATCCATAATACTGTATATTGCTCGTGAACACCATGCGAAATTGATTACGGAACCTATGTTCGCGTGCTATAAAGCATATTGCATCAGGCTTGATATCACAGTTTCGAATCACCAGCGATGGACGAAATTTCAAAATCGTCGAAGCTAACGAGCAGTAAATGAACTGCATGTTAACCTTTTTGACGGTAGATCTTCCCACACAAAACTCATTGACCACATGGGTAAATGAAGCCATTAAAATTGAAATTATGTTCATTTCCAACGAATAGAAGTTGGGCATTGTTAATCAAAGCCTGAATAATCAGATCTCCTCTGTATATAATACAATGGATGAAATCATGAATTCAAAAGTTTGTGCCACCGAATTCCAGATCCAACAATTTCAAGCTTTCCTTTGAAGATGCTAACGTTAACTCGCCCAGTAGGCAAGTGGATTACAGAGCAAAAAATAGTATATGGAAGAGCCACTGGATTCTGACAACAGTGGTCAGTCATGGTTGCCAAAAGATCTTCGTGTGATGGGCAATGAATTTGATTCCATCGCCTTGCGCAAGCACGTGCTCATGTGTCTATTTTCAACCCCCATTCGGACTCTGGAACAAAATTAAATCCCATGACTGGGTATCGCATTTCTTTCGTCAAACAATTGACATCCGAAAGTTCCACAAAGAACTTGACAACACGGAAATGCGTGGCATGGAGTAGTTCATTCCTTCAACTCAGCTCCCATGTCACCGTTGTCTTGAATATACAGTACATTATGTTGAGAAAGGATTCAGTGCAATGGCACTGAGTTGGAAGCTGCAACAAGCGGTTGCCGCATTCCTTCGTATAAGTCAAACGTGCTCTCCAAGAGCCAAACGAAGGCAAAAACCTCGAATTACAAGGAGGGGTAGAAAAACTTCCATAGAAAGGATTTGCATGACGATAACGTCGTCGGCGAGGGCTGAAGTGAGACTGAGAAAATGAAATGGGTAATGTTTTCACGAGTTCTGTGGGTTGGAAGTTGGAACAACTTGTGTTCGTCCCGGAAGCCGCTCTGTCGGATGCCGCAATTTTCCGGCGAAGAATCTCCAGAAACACATCGCCGAATGAATAAGCCTATTGTTCAAGGACTTCAAGCAAAATACTGTAACTGCACATTTATTCTTGCTTTCCGATTCGCGCCTACCATGGAAAGACAGGATTCTTCATAATTCAAAATTTCATGGGCAAGCATTGCTGATCTTTTTCGTATTTTGGATAAGGTGCTGTAATTTTTATTATTCAGTTGCACATTTGGAATATCCCGAATTACATTGCAAATGCGACAAGCACTGTATTGGGCAAGTTTCAGGTCTTCAAAGATTCGTCGAACTTCCACGAAATGAAATCAATTTAGAAATACAGTACAGTACTTCAGTCTGTCGCCTTCGTATTTTCGGCTCAGAATTTTAAATTTTCTGAGCAAAACTTACCAGGTTGTGCTTATGCCCCGCTCCGCAATGGCAAATTATTTTTTCGTTGGCACCGAATCCGAAATTAAAACCCTTCAAAACAATGTACAGTCTAACGCTGGAAGCAAAAGTATATGCAGTGCACTGTATATATACGACTTCAAATTCCTGTCCCTTCAACATAGTGGGTGGAGAGTAAAGTCACGTGTCATACAGCAGTTTCTGCGTTTCTTCTATATAGAAACGCACTGTATATCTAAAGGGATTCAGACAAGGAACTGCAAAAAAAGGAATTTGCAATGGGTGGTACTTGACTATAAGGGAGGTTGAAGTGATCAAGTCATAGGTGTTCTACTCATCTACTGTATAAAAGGAGGTGGCGCATCACAAGATAACTGGAGCCTTGGGGTTCATTTTGGTGCCAAAACTTTGTTGACCTCTTTATAGAGCTAAGAATGGACTGAACAATTTTTGGTAGGCCCACGGATGCTAACTCCATGGAGTGGAATTCGGGTGCACAAATTAATCGGCCGAAAACTATTGATAATAGGAAAGGATTGGAATTATATTTCCAGTACCAGTCGACTAGGTAGCACAGCAGCATTTCGGTTTGGAAAGTGGGCAAGGTTAAATTAGCACCTCAGGTTTAGGAATTCTTCCACTGCAGAATAATGAATCGAAAAATAAAGGAGAGCAACACTAGCAAGTGGGAAAAGAGAGAGAGCCTCCAATACTGCCACCCAACTTCGACCTAATGCGGGCGTCCAATACTGTAATGGCAACACCCACCGCTAGGTAGTATCGAAGTGTCTCCGAAAAGAGGTCATTACGATTTGAAAAGGTCTTTATTAGAAGGCCGTAAGAAAGCTACCACGTTACGCCCACATCTATCGCATTTTCACTGAGTGATCTCATCTCAGATCCGATCTTCAGCGACACAGGGAATTTTCGGCCCCTTCTGTCTCGAACTAACGGCAGAACACTGGTGCACATGGGTGAAACTTGGAATGGAAAAATTCACCGTTGCCTCAGGCGAACGGATCTCCCCGAGTTCATTTCGAAGTGGTGTCAGAAAAAGGGGGTCAAATTCGGGAAAATTTCGCAATCTGCGGTAAAAAAAGATAGCTTCATTCCACAATCCATGAATTAAAGGGAAGAATGCACGATCAACTCACGACCAACACGATGCCATCGAATTCGTAAGGTACCGACAAACGAAAAACATGAAAAAAAACTCACCGTACGTCCAGAAAGAACTTTGTCCGGTGAAGACTCGGTCGGGGTTCAACTCGAAGCAGTGCCTCTCAAATTTTACTTCTGAAGCTTAAACGTCCACCAAATGGATTGCACACATTCCATCTCATATTGAGTATATCAATGCAAAAAGAGCACCGCGAGGATACGATCGGAGTCTAAAATTGGGAATCCCATGCATTATGAAACTAACTGATCCTTCAATGACAGTTCTGCAACTACATTGTGCGTATTCCTAAATGAATGAAAAATGAACAGAATGGAAAGAACTGATTACGCATAGCATTCTTGGACAAGCAGCGGAGACGACTATTGACGCGCCGCACACAAAAGTGATTTATGTTCTGTCTGTGAAGTACAGCAGAGCATATCAATCACCTCAATAGAAATTGGTCCAATGAAACACATTTGAAGGCATAATTACCGAGCAATCGGTTCGCATCGTATTCAGATAGTGTCAGCTTAGAATTTATGATTCACTTTTGATCTGCCGGTCATGAATATCTCTACGTATAAAAATAAACATTTCAGGATGGTCCACGCAGAACGACAACTTCTTTGAGAGTCATATCACTCCAGAATAGCGATAGCGCTGTTCCCGAAATTTTGATGGAGGTAGCCATGTATAAAAAGGGAGAACGCGTACAGTTTATGTAGAGCCGCACACTGCAGCCGTCTCTTCAGCGCAGGCTCGATTTGCCCCGGCTGTCTACCTGCAAGTCTTCCCTCTAGATCAGTATGATAATTCGAGAGTTTTAGAGTTCATCAAAACATCAACGCCAGCTTTCAGAAACATTCATCAAGATTAATACTTCTCTGAAACTTTCTAATTAATCATAGATATATGAAAAGTTTAGATGCAAAAATTACGGTACTCGAAAGTCGTAACTTCTTTCGTCGAATCTGGCCACCTCGGTTTCGTCCATATCCCCACATGGTGCCTTAAGAATCGGTAGCCTATAGCCCTATATACACGATTTATTTAATCGTTAGGCAGTATTGATGAAGGCAGTGACATGAGGATGACTATACCAAAGAGAATTACGCTGACTGTTACAAACGATGAGCACAGATGTCACTGCAAATGATGTGTATCATTCACGCTGATACGTGAGTAAAAAGCTGTTTTTTGTACACTCTCTGCAGCCAAAAACACGGTTGATTCAACAGTACTGTATCGCGAATGCATGAAGTGAACAAAACTCAAAACATACACTCATATAGCTCCGAATTTTCTTCTCATGAAGTTACGCAAACCGAACAAGTTCGACGAATGTTATGCTGACTGGAAGACGGCATATCACCCTCATCATTATCATACCACTATCATGACATGTGGTCCGCATACAATACAATATGCGGTGTCCGGTCAGCCGCCAGTCGATCAAACCACGGTCGCGCACCCACCAGCCATCAAATGCCGGTCACTCCAACCGCCACAGCTATATAGTGGAAATGTCTTTTTAAAATTAGAAAAGTGGGCTTAAAGAAAAATTTCTCAGAATAAAAAAAAATGTATTTCATCAGGTTAAAATTTGTCTGAAGTGTTATTAGGAGGAAAGCCAACTTTGAATTTTTTGTGAGATGATCTTAATTGCAATTGTCTTTTAAATTTTTTTTGATAAAGATACTGTGATGTCCTTCACTGATAGTCATTATCAAGTGTCATGCTTGAGAAAATTTCCCATGAACTAGCCGAACACATATGTGGACCGGCGCCGGTCCGTGGACCACGGTTTGGGAAACAGTGGTGTATAGGGGTTGAATCAGCAGTAAAGTTGTTGGGCTTATTGACCTAATCTTGGCTGTTCCGGGGAAAAATCCTGTTTTCCACTATTTCGGAGAGTACATATACAGTTTTTGGTGAGTGAGGTAAAGCTTCAGAAAGAGTGTCTGCTGGTTCAATCATATCCTCAAAAGGTCAGGTAACTGAATCATTCTAGGCAGTATCGTCATCACTAATCATCCGTGCAGGCGAAATTGGTCAAAAATGGCTGTACAATGAACAAAGCTGCTAAGAAAGTATAAATAGCATTTATTCGACGCTTGGAAAATAATCTACATGTTGGCCACAATTCTCTCAGTAACTTTTTACTTTAAAATGGCATCCAAATATTATGCAGTACGTCCGTTACCTGAGTCAAAGTTCAACATCTGAAGCAACAATTAACCCCAAACAGCCGCTGTTCCCTAAAATATATTGTATAGGACACCGTCACCCCTCAGTTATGTACCATATAGATGGAGTAAGTTTAATGCCTTCTATGTCGAGTATCTTATCAGTATTTCTCGAAAATTGCCCAGCATTACTGTTTTTGAGGGAACTTCCTCGCCGTTGCAAAATGGAATGCCACAATGCAGGGACTTCGAGTTTTAGCCTCGAACGTTCTACCGACAATACTTTCAACGCTCAATTCAAAATACAGTATTAAAATTTGTTTGGTGTGAATGCAGAAGCTTTCCATAAAAATGTTCCTTGCAGCAGTCGGGCCAGAATTACAGTACAGTAAAATTTCGTAACAACGAACCTCGTTTCAACAATTTCGCATGACGAAATTTTTCTCAGTCCCCGCAGTTTTGCCATGAGAGCCACGGTATACAAAATTTTATTTTAACAAACTTGTTTTTGGCATTAATCTCATTATAACAAATTATTTGCCCTGATTCTGTACACAGACCGCAGGGATTATTCATTAAATGACTGGAAATGGAAAAAATGTAAATGGTGCAGCGCGCATCCCACCTTCTTCAAAGGAGCAAAACTTGTTGTGTGAAGAAAATGTAGTGTTCAAACAAATAAACAGCATGAAATATTTCTTGGAAATTTTGTAGCGCCATTTCAGACTGCATGTCTTTTTTCAAATAAAAACAAACAGGTATAAATGAATAAGCTTCAGAAGGAAGCGACAAGTTCAGAAAAAGTACTGTACAAGTTTGCAATATTTCTCCTACATGTACTTTTGTTTCATTTCATCTTTTAAGACAAATGAAATTCGAATTGCGAGGAAAATTTAATGAATGGAAATTATTATCTATTCCGAACTTTTCTTTTCATTTCTACAAATTTTTGCTTGAAGAAATTATGACAGGTCTTAAATTACCTGTCTTGGAAGCACTCTATAGTATTTATTACCAATTTCCATCAAAATTTCAGTCTGAAATTTGTTGAAAACCATGAGTCTTGTACAAATAAATGTTTCATCAATACAATTTTATCAAGGGTTTCTATGAGTTTGTTGCAGCGCGATTTTTACTGCCTTTCGAACCAAGATTTTGTTCCAGATGAGGTTATGAACTGTATTCATATTTATTAGTAATAAATGAATACAATATTGGCAGATGTTCGAAACAGCCCCAGGATGGAATTTTTTCGCCCAATCGCAACTCCCGGGCTTAGGCTCGAAATCGGAACACCCGCGCTCAGTCCGTGGCTATAGGAACGCTTTTCGCCGGTTATTCTGCCCAAAAACTGATGTGCATCCCTGGGGCTCCTCAGTTCTCTAACGTCAGTCTCCGACTGAATATTGGGGCGCGACATTTAAATTTCAACGCCCAGTCATCGTTGACATGTTCTTAGTGATATTTTATCCGTGTTTGAAATCATAAACATTTTCATCCGTGAATCAACGATTTAAAAAATAACAATTGAAAGAAATACTGTGTAGCTATCCTCTCCAAATCCTTCTTAGACACTTGGGTGACTGCTGTAACTTTGTTTCCTGGGTGCAATACCGCGAATAACAGATTTTGCCAACTCGGTTGATTTTATCGCATTTTAAAATTAATTCAGCAAAATTTTCCATTTATAAACTGTGACACTTTAAAAATCGACCACGATGTTTGCTCTTTCCATGATGCGTACCAATTTAGCTGCAGCGAAATTTTTAAAACAATCATCATTTTTCCGGGCAATTCTTAACTAATTTTACAATGCTTTAATAATATGATTGAAAGTAGGTGAGCGCCAATTGCAATGAAGTTTCTGCGAAATTATCCCGCGTTTCGAAACATTTTTATTTGGTTTCCTTCCTTTTCCGAAAAAAGCTCAATTTAGAAGATTCATATATTTTCAGGGGGAAAAAACCATAATGCAGATAGACACTCTTTAAAACAAAGTTCAAGAGACCGTAGTGATAATTCGCTGTAGAAAGAACTTCGTTATAGAGAAAATAGCATTGGGAAAGTATCCTTATAGCTACAAAAAATCTCTCTACACAGAAAATCGTTGTAGACAAGATCCTTACGAAGAGATTCCACCACCATTAGAAAAATGTATTTTCACTGATGATAAAAACTTTTTTATCCGCTTGCTGCGATCAAATAAATTGCGGGAAATTCTGTTCGGGTGACTGGAAAACATTTAAATTATGTGGGAACGGAAATGCGTCATAATTTCTAAGAGCGCATTGGCGAAGCACTCGTACTGGTTGTACAGCACCTTTTAAAAACAGATTTTGTCGCGAAGACAAGGGAGGAATCCGGCAGGAGGCTTTGACGATGATGAATTGGGTCGAGCGCGAGACTAGGAGGCCAGGAAATTCGGAGATTGAATCCGCATAGTTCTGTGGGAAAATCACCCACGGGACACCATTCTTACACTTCGGTATAAGCTCTCGAACCCAACCTCTATTACTGCACTGCATCACGCTCGCAAACAAGCGATGTGCAAGATGATTTTCGCCGTTCCGTTCTGGTCGTCTCCTAAACGCGGGCACTGTCGTCCTCAACACGCAGACCTGTAATTTCAGTACAGTTCGCATCTCAACGAGGCGCTCTTCCGTCAGTGGGGAACATTCGAAGTTGAGCTTCCCGAAGTACACTCACATTTTTTCTTCTTTCCCCACAGACATTATCGTGGCTTTCCTTCGGAAAAATGTAGCGTCGTCTCACTCTATAACCTTATGGCTTCGTGTGTGGGGTGGGATTCCCCCACAGTACATTAAAATGAATCAGCTCTAAAACTCATTAATGAAGTCACTTTTCCTTTGGTGAGACTGAGACATGATCCAAGAAACCTAACTGCGTCAAGTTCATTAATTTCTTCACGAGAATGACGAATGAAGATTAAACTAAACTTTTCCAAACATGTTATGAAAAAGTTTCTGTGTTATCTCTGCAGTGGTGAATACTTTCGTGAATGTTTGAAGGGAAAAAATGTGGCAAAAATGCGCTCGTCAAGCCGACGGTCTGCGACTCGTGGTCATGATACCCCGACGCTATGAACAATTCGCAGCAACTGCTGAATAAGATCTAAGAGG